GGAAATCAAGGGATGAAAGTCTGAGTCGACCTTGCCCAGCCTGGAAATGGAACCCCTGACCTGTTGTGCTGCTGCGCGATGCGCTAGCCACTTCGCCACCGGAACTCACTACACGCATAGAAATGGTAATTCAGTTTGTAGATTCAGTTTTCTTATTCAAACATGGGCTGAAACTCGAATTGTTGCTCATACATCAATAAGACTTGAAAAAATTGGGTTTGGTAGATGTAAGTTAAAGATGTCAATATGAGGTTTTCTAGTTTCAGAATCGAAAAGGATAGACGAATTTAGTTTTGTATTGTTAGAAAGTTCTCAGCTTATCTGATATATCAGATCAATTTTCGAACAGGCTAACTTATTTGGTGGACCTATTTGTGGCACTATTTAACCATTGTGGCACCATTATGTATAAGAAAGATTCATGATGTTCAGAGCTTATGATAAAGGATGATAGAAGCTATTGCTACAATAAATCCATAATTCAAATGACTTGGGACGATATTCCATTATTCCGCAGATGCGGAATAAGGCTCCATGATTCAGTAGATTCAGAACGAGATCGATTATATTACCGAGTTCCATCGTACAGGAATCAGAATACTGCAGAAATCAAACAGTAACAGATGATAAATTTGAATACTTATTATTATTTTTTAATTCAAATAATTATGGCATTTTAAACAGTTTCTGAGTTATATGTTTTCATAATTACAATATTCTTATTTCTGATACACTAGAACATCACTTACAATTGAGAAATGCGTATCAAAAATTCGCAAATTGTTACCGGTAATAAATAATAAAATAATGAATAATAATAAATAATAAATAAATAATAAATAATAATAATAAAATATTTTTACCTAAATCCTATATCAATGAAGAATTTTTTTTACTTTCAAATGCTCCAGTATATAGGATATAAAACTACAGCAATGACCCTCTATTAGTTAAATTTTGGCACATACATACACACAAACACACATAAAAAAAAAAATTGAAGAAAGCTTACTGGCATAGCATTTGCAATTATCACTCGAATGGAAACACTAAACAACATTTGCTAAATTTTACGTTAATTTATGTCCTAATCTTAGTGGATTCGATATAATAAAAAGCCAGAGCTGCCTATCAAGGATCCATGAATCTAAATGAATGTCTTCAAATGATTAAGGCTTAAATTACTTACAATGTTTGTTCTCATAAATAATGATAAAATTCCCTAAACGTAATTGTGAGATTAATATTTAAAGACAAAACGTTGTATTTTTGGCTGGAATAAATAAATGTAGCATCAGAAATACCTTTGATTAATTACTATCATGCAGAGATTCTCAACATGTGGGGAACACCCCCTAGTGGGGGCGTAATAACAGGACATAGCATATCGGAAAGAAAATATTATAAAAAATTCATTACTTTACTGAAAGGAAAATGAAACAAAATACATTCTAATATTAAAAAAGTAAAATATACTCTTACCTTTATATAATATCTTATATGTATAAAGAAGAATGTCTGTTTGTGCGTTTGTTTGTTCGTGATTAACTCAGTCACTACTATAGCTATTGTCACCAAACTTTCTACAATTCTTTTCTGGCTGCTAGAAAATGTCGATTTTTGTTTCACAAGTGCTTGTATACTTTGGAATCTTCCAGACACTGAACGAATACCATCAAGGAACGACGTAATTTTTCCACTCTGTGTTTGCCTCGTTTATAAACTCATTTAAGATAGCAAATAAAGCGAGCACTGTTGCTTTGAGTTCTGTTGTTTTGAAGAAAATTAATTCTTCTACTGATGACATACAACCTCAAAATCAAATATATGCAATGAAGTGAATGTCTTTATTGCTATCTGTTTCTCATAAAAACTAAAATGAAAACCATTTTTCAAGCAGTTTTCAGAAACCTGATACTGTACATCTTCAGCTGTATCGACCAGCAACAGTATCATTTGACATAGGCATGGACTGCATTCGTTTGGCAAAATTATCTTGAAACATAACCTACAATCTCATTTGCAGCTGTCAAAATAAGATCTTCAACAATGGTTAGAGGCTGGTTACAGGCGAAAACATGGCAAAAACGTCACGGACGAAACTGTATAGGAAAAAACAACGCAAGGCGAAAACGACGTCGTGCAAAACATCGCGGGAGAAAAGAAAGCAAGGAGAAAAACCTCGCAGTTCTAAAACATCGCAGTACGAAACATTGCCTTCAAAAATAAAGCAGTTAAAAAACATCGCAGTTTTAATACATCGTTGTAAAAAATATCTTCGTTAAAAATAAAGCACTTACAAATCATCGCAAGACGAAAACATCGCAGACATGTGCTTTTCAGGCTTTAAAAGCTGTAAATATATATTCGCGTAAAGTTTGTGAGCGCAAGAAGGAATGAGGAATATTTTTACCTCTATATTTCATATCTTTGAATAATTAATAATTTTTTGCTAAAAAAGCAAGAAGGAAATTTAAGGAATCAAAAATTAAAAATGAACTAATTAATTCAACAATTTTAAAATAGATAATCGTTCGCAATAATTCGTCTTCGCTTTTGTAATCTTTTTAAGACTATAATGAAAAACTATCACTACAACTTTATAAAAAGAGATTAATTAAATAATGACTTTTAATAATTAACTACGTAAGTTTAAAATTCTATTAATTGCTACGCGCAGCATTCATTTTCTAATTTTCAGTTTTTGAATGTTTAAGTTGCTTTCTTAGCAAAAATTTACTAATTAATTCAACAATATGAAATAGAGAGATAAAAATGTGCCTCATTTCTTCTTTGGCTCACAAATAATTATGTGAATATACATTTACAACTTTTAACGTCTGAAAAACACACGTCTGCGATATTATCATCAGGCCATCATTTGTAAGTGCTTTATATTTTAGACGACGCTTTAAAACTGTGATGTTTTTAGCCGCTTTATTCTCGACTACCTTCCTTCAAGATGCTTTCTTTTCTTCTCATATTTTGATGATGTTTTCATCTTTAGTGTTTTTCTCCGCAGCATTTTCGTGCACGATGTCTTTCCCACATCGATTGACATCGCAAACCTTTTTAATCTGGCTATTTTATACGAAACTTTGCAAGAGACAGGTAAAGCTTTTACATTTACAGAGGTTTTTCTTTTTCTTTTCTTTTTTTTTTTTTAATTATTTTACTTCAAAAAATACTTGGTGTTTGTTAACATCGTTTCCAAATACTTTTTTACGTTTATTGGGTTGGATGTTGTCTGCTGCCAACATCTCTGAACAAATGACACGTAGGAACCTTTCTTCTTCGTTCACTTCGTAAACCCAAAATTTAAGTATGCTTGAAAATATATATTTTATTTTATTTCTCAATCACACTCATTTGTACACCTGTTGATGTTTCACTATCGTTTAATGCTTGCTTGAGTCCACTTAAATATTTATCCACGATTCTGTATAAACCTACTGCCACGGAATATTTAACATCGGGAATTGCAATTAATCCTCAAATTATAATATATACAATTACGGCAGATTCGATAGCGATAGAAGGATCGACTCGACTGACACTGGCTGTAATTGAATAAGGTGCAGCATTTATTCATACACGTTTGCGTGGCGTTCTCCCAGATGTTCCCGAATATTCGAGACAAAACAGAACTTCTGGCTAAACCATGAGAATGGCCGATATGGATGGTGTAAGCAACACTGAGCAACAGAGAGACTTCGATTCTGTTTTTGTCAATGCAGCGCATCGGTGATGCCAAATGTTAATAAATTTACTTATTATTAGTAATTTGTAAGGTTTGTAAATTGAGGTTATAGTGTAGCTTTAGCATCTTAGCGTCAAATTACTCAAAATGCACTATTATTGTATGCATTGTTATTGTATAAGAGAGGGGCGCGATGAAAGATATGACTGAAAATTGAGTTGCAAATACTGAAAAGTTGGGAAACGCTGCGATAATGGTACAAATGTTCACAAAATGTATAACTTAACAGCAAGCAATTAACCCTTTCGCCGTCCTCTCCTGTCCGCGAAAATTTCTCCCCAGCGGCCCTCTGTTTTTCGTAGCGTGTAATGTTGTTTTCTCTGTAAATAACTTTCCATACATAACTTTCGTACTGGATGAATGTCAATGAATATTAAGTAAAATTATAAGGAAATAAAGCATAATTGAAAAGTAATAATATGTCTGCTTATTTCTAACAGCAGGATAATTTGATAACATCTGATCCAGGAGATCCACTCCTCCCATTTTTTTGGTCTAACCTTTTAAAAATTATTGTTTTTTATTTCTTTTCCATGTTTCAACATTAATCTTCAGTTATTATGGACTGTATTTATCAAACTTATATCCTTCTTTTCTTTCCAATTCACAACCTCAGTTCTTCTCTTTTCCTGCTGAGTAGACGTTGAAGCCATCTCTTGTAGCTTATGTAAAATTGCGCGAATATTCATAAAATCCGGGGAAACTTCAATTAGAAATAGAATGCCTGATTAGTTCTGCCCTCTAGGAGGTATTAGAACAAACAAAAATAAAAACTCAAACAAGTAAACATTTAGAAAGCGTTTTAAACGTTTAAAAATTTTAAAATCTAGAAGAAAGCTTGAAGCGCGTTACGGCCGCCCTGCAGAAGTTTCACTTATTTTGCAGAAGTTTCGTCCGTGACGCGTAAGTATATTATCCGTTACACCAATTAGTTCACTAGTAAAAATAAAATAAGTATATGAATTAATAAGTGCCTAATAAAAATCGCTGAATGAATTTAAAGTTTTAACTCGAATTATAAGTAAAGATCATATATCTAATAGATTAGCAGAACACTGGCAATAAGTGCTCTAGCATGGTGACACGAAAAAAAAAAAAAAAAGAAAGAAAGAAAGAATGCATGAAAGAGAGTTAGGCTCTTAGGCTACAGACACTTGTATCGCCAGAAATATGAACTACGAGATATATGAATAATTGCGTTTGGAACGCAAAGTTTAAATTTTTAAATTCTCCAACTTACATTCTAATGCCCATTTGTATAACTCCTCAAGAAAATGTGGCACTTCTTTATTGCTGTCTCTCAGACTATACATTCGTTTTACAAAATCACTGGCAACGTCTTGCATGGGAAACAGGTAGGATTGTATGGTTTTTGGTTTCATCATGTGTTTCTGAGTTTTTGATCTTAGATCCCACCATTCTTTGCCTTGCCTGTATAAAAGAAAACAATTTTTATTCAGTGCAAACAATTTTAAAAAGAAAATACTGAAAACTGAAAGCACGTGATACAATTAAGCGAATACGCTTGTCGTTATGAGTAAAGAAAATTTATGTCATCAGCATATCATACTCTTATCACTAAATAGGGCTAATAAATATTGAATAATGTTAAGTGAGAAACTGTCAAGGGTGATTACGAATTTCATGATTAAAAATAATTTAGCTTTTACATGTTCGGTTAATAGACTTCTCTGATAATATGAATGTAAAATTTATCAATTTCAATCATTTATTGAGATCCTCTTAAAACTTATTCCATTATCTTTCTAAAGCATGATTAGTATTGTATTAAATACTCATCTCTTTAAAAGAGAAATTAAATGCCACAATACTTACTTCTTTTACTTATATCAATAGAGCATAATCACATTAAATTAGAGTTAAATGTAATTAGAGTAAATGTAAATTTTCGTGTAATTATCTCATAAAAGCAAGATTAAATATTTCTGAGCAGTAAGTTTTGTTCTACGCTTATAGTATAAAATAATTTAGTTTATTTTTGTTAATAACTCCTACGCTAGTGTCAAAATTATTTTCATTAAATTCTCATTCATAGAATTATTTTTAAAACTTTTAGGTACTTGACGATTATAGCGGTCTTGGCGAGAAATGGTAAGGTAGTATTTTAGCCTTATTGGGAAACATGCAATCATTTATACACACTATCAATTCATTTAATATCTACAGTGCATAATTTATTTAGTTACATATGCAAAAATAAATTCATATTTTTATTTTATTTAATAGACATTCTAAGCAACTTATTTAAAATAAATAGCATGTCGGAACGTACAACATGCCAAAACGTATAAAACAACGATTTATAGAGCTCATGTTGTTGTTTCTTAAGCTCACTTGTCTGACAGAGTCAGCCCAAGCACTCGAAATTCCTTATGGCAAGGAGCGCTGTAATACGCCTGCCGTTGGCAACAGCCTTCAGCACCATTCAGATGACAGCGATTTAGCTCAGTTCCGCCCCCAACTTTGATGCAGAGCACCCGGGGGGGACGGATCCGAGGATCTCCCACCCCTTCCACCAAACCACACGAGAGGATTTTCGGCTTGCCGCATATTTAGAGTGCCGCCATGCCGCACCGACACTATACATTTATGAACATCCATACCTTCTCCGAGATTCGAAAGCCAGTCCTTCGGCACCCCAGTCAGCGACGCTAACTACTAAACTGGTTGGGCGGCCCATATAGAACATATAATATATAGAACAACAAATAACGAATGTACACAGCACGTAAAACCATATCCGAAATACAACTTTCTCGTAACCACAGTATGGTTTCTTTACCAACATATGATTGCGTATTACGGCTATTTTCACAAATTCCTCAAAATGATAAAATATATTTCTCTTAAAAAGCCTATTAACATCTTCTTCCAAACAACATATCTAATATTTGACAAAGGAAGCCAGCTGAAAATTTTAGCTAACTGAAAAATTACAAACTACATTCACAATGCTGAAGAACTATAAATTGCGTTTATGCATATTTTAATCCCCCGATGCACAAAATGTCTTTCTAAATTTGTTCTTAGGCGATAAAATATAAGGAGGAGAGGAAAAGTACCGATAAAATTTAGTGGTAAAAAATTAGAACTCAAGAATGAAAGCTTAAACTGCTGTGAAAAAAGTTTCATACGGTCTCGAAACTCCCAAAAGCGTCTGAACAGAACAGACCTCTGTTGCATTATGACAAAGACGGAAGTGATAGTCATCCATTAAGCCAAAATTGCGAAAAGGACTCTCTAGGGCAGCAGTTTCCTAACAGTTTGACTCACAGAGCCGTATCTAGAATCAATTTCACTAACGGGGCCTTTTATTCTACGTAATTTGTCTTATAAGTTAATGAGATTTGCCCAGACGGGAAAGTGGTTAGTGACTCTGACTGCCGTAACGAAGAGCGTAGGTTCGATTCCCGGAAAAGGCATGGATGTAATCTGTCGTCCCTTCATAAGATGCAAAATGGCCCAATTGTTAGGCCCCTCCATAATAAAGAGATCCCTGCTTCCTGCCTTAGTAGTGGCCAACGCTTATAAACGGCTACAGCACGTCATCGGAAAAAAAAATAATGAAATTTAAGAACAGTATTACACGAATATTAAAAAGATACATGTAGTAAGCGAATGAAAATTAAATAAGTATCTAAAGAATTGCCCAATGTCTAAGAAATTAAATTACATTTTAAAAATTTTCAGTTTTACTATAATATTGTTAAGAAATGTTCAGGAGTGGTAAGATAGCTTCCCAGCAAAGCAGGTTTGGGGTTGCCATAAAATGACAAAAGCAGACAGAGTTGCCACATAAGGCGAGAAATCGCCCATTTGGCGATATTTGGCTACGGAATTGGCGATATCCCATAGACGTATGGAGAACCTTCTAGAACGAATTTTTACTGGTTTAGCCCAAAATGTTCTCGAACACAAGCCAAAAGCTATATAAACCCTGCTGGTACGCGGACAGTCAATCCATGCGGAGTCGATCGAGTTGATAGTTGGTCATTGAGCGTGTGTCTCGAAGTCTAGCGCCGAGTTGGTAGTCGAGTGCACCGAAAGAGTTTCTTAGTGTATCGCGGTTAGTGCATCGTCTAGGTGTGTTAAGCTCCGGGAACAACTGAACCGAGGAGTCGGAAGCTGTACTCTTGTGTATCGTTGAGTGCATCGCGAGTGGTAGCGTGGAGAGTCTCGAGAGTACGTAGAGTTCCGAGAGCGACCGAGCAGAGTCGGGAGCCGTACTTTGGTGCTTTGCCGTGAAGCTGTCTCCACCATTATAACCTGATATTGTGAAGACTGTGTCACTGATCGTGTCAGCGTGTTTATTGTTGTTCTTCGACGACTGTGTAAACGTGTTATTGGAGGTGTTTTGAATAATACTGGTCAATAAAGTGGATTTCGATTCTTCATCAAGTGTTCTCGTTATTCTCGTTTGTAACAATATCTTATTCCTAAGTGATATTGCAAATATATAAAGGTTCTTGCAAAGCTCAATATATCAAATCAAATTGTTTTACAACATGTATTTTATATTATTGCTGAGAGAGCCGTTCCTCACAATGAATTCCGTTACTGCAAGTTAATCATTACACGCAAGTCAATTCAAATGCATATGCGTTAATTACTTCTTACCTGAAATTTTTATTACTTCTTACAGATGACAATTTTAATTTTATTTTATTTTATGCAACTGTGATGCATTGTAGGCCTAAATTTAAACATAACATAAAAAAGTAAAAGCGTTTCAGAGGCATCTCTCGTTTCAATTTTGTGTTAAATTTTCGAATTCTATGTTCAACTGTTGATCGCATTTGCGAAAAAATCCCTTGTTTTCCATTGACATGGATTCTGCATATTATTTTATGCTTTGTATAGATAGAGAATCCTGCTTTATTGAGGTATGTAGTTCAGAAAAACAGCAGCAGTAATTTTCCTTCCTAATGACAAGATTTTGAATCCATCTTTTAGCAGTCAAAAGACCAGCAGAATTTTTCGTTTTAAAACGCGGATTTTAAGTTCCCTATGACATCTACATAAAAGAATGCCTGTTGTAACGTCTGAACACCCGTGTTCTGTGAAAAAAGAACATTTTTTTTTAATATTTATTTTGAAAACTTAATAAGAATTTCTTGAATACTAATAAATAAAATAATCAACCATTTCAGCCATAATACAAACAATGGCCGCTGAATGCAGCCTCGACGCTGGATTGCGTCTTCTTCCAAGTCTTTCACTTCATAAAAAGCTCACACAAAAAGCCCTCTCTTTCGTTTGGTTAAAAGTCCTTATCGGAAATATCCGGAATGGGGTAATTACTAAGTCCCTTATGTCCGGAAACCGCACCAGGGGATTTCCGCAACAACTTTCCTCAATGTTCTAACTGAATTAGTATCTGAACAAAACATGAAAGAGGTATATATTATAATATGTTACACTGTGTGTTTGCTCGCGATTAACGCAGTCACTACTATAGCTCTCGTTACCAAACCTTCTACAATTCTTTTCTGGGTCCTGGCAAAGGTCAACGTCCACAGTTTTCAAAAAATAAATACCTAAAATCAGAGTTATTAATTAAAAACTCTGAAAATGCTAATTTTCGCCCTCATTTTTCTGAGCAGCAACAGTCTCGTGCGTTGGAGATAAATATGTTTTATTTCGAAAAGTGTTGCTACTGCTCACTTTCAAGTCGTCAAGTTTCAACTTTGTTAATCAAAAATTTGTAAGTTTAACAAAGTCTATACATATTAAGAAAAATGTCGGCTTGTGTGTTTGTTTATTGGTTCGCATTTTTGATTTCTCGATCAATTGTGGTCCATTTTTTGTCACGTTATTCCACTAAAATTGAATATAGGTGAAATATTGGATTGAGCTTTTACGACCCTTTGATTAGAAAGACGAAAATCAATAAAAACTGCGTGTCACTGTTTCTGATATAATGAGAGAGAGTTAGTTTATTTTTCTCTCGAAATTTTTATGTGGGGTCCATATCACATCAAACTGAAAAATATATGACTAAATCGTATTTTATGCATCTTTATTAGAGACAGATTACAGCGGTATCGTTCTCTCTGTTGTTAGACGCATTTCTCTCAATCTAACTTAAGGGGACTCATACACCTTAAAACCCATAAGATGTTCGAATAAGTGACTGTTGCAAGAATTGGGATAACTTATTTATTTTAAAAGCAATTACTACCAACTTTTTACAGCTGACTAAATAGTATAGCTGCTTTAGAAACTAGTAACCAGAAAGTTTGTGTTGCCACAAATATTTTTATAATTTAATCCGCTTTGTGACAACATTTTTCGTTATGTTTCCAACTTGAGCGCACAGTTTAAAACATTCTGTTTCATAATTTAATTCCATATTTAATACATAGCTTTTATAACATTTGGAAACTACTGTGAACCTAAAATTCTAAAAA